TCTAATTTATAAATTTTGAGTCCTAGTGACATGCATCCCCTGTGCATGTTCCAGATGCATAAGAGAGAATCCAAAGTACAGAAATGAATGGTCCTCTTTTCAGGGCCACTCTGGTCTACAAAGAACTTTTGTGCTAACTAGAAAGGGTGCCCCCTTGGGGTTGGTGCAGAGCAGAGTTTAACTAATAGCTTTGGGTATTTAAAAAAAAAAAGAAAAAGAAACCTGTCTGTTTCTGTGGGCATGTAGCGCTGGAGAACACACTGCTTAGCAAGGAGAGCAGGGGCGAACTTTGGGCCCCCACTTGCTCCCTTGGCTGATGCCTTTGTGCAGAGTAGAAGCTGTGCACCCAGATGTATCAGCCGCTTCTGATCCCTGGTGTCTTAGAAGTCTGTGGGGTCTTCTCCCACGGGCCTTGCTGGCCGACAGCAGGCTCACACTGCCTGGCCTTGGTTTCTGAGACCATGGCAGCCTGGGCTGGCCCCTGGCATGCCCGTTTTTACCTGGCCCCACCAGGGGGGCTGCCTGGCAAGGGTGTGGCTCAGTGTCTCAGGGCGGGAAAAGGGGCGCCTCACGGCCGGAAGCATGCAGACTTGGTCCCCTCCCAGCAGGCACCATAGACCTTGATCTCCTCGAGGTGCTTAACGTGGAGAGCCCACGTCTTGGCTCCTCTTTGCCCACTTCCGACCTGAAACTGGCTCTCAGCTTCAGGAACGCGCACGATTTTCCAGCGTTCTGTCTCAGAGGTCAGATGCGAGCAGCACAAAGCAATGTGTTGAAGAGGTCCAGAACAGACGAGCTCACAGTGGTGGGAGCTGACCTCGCTCCCGAGGCATTGGGTTACACGTCGCCCCGTGTGTGCAGTGACGCCATTCCGCCGGGACACCCCTCCTCTGTAGGGCGTGTTGTCAGAGTGGTTTTCAGGAGGTGGTTATGAGCTCTCCATGGCTGAGATGGCTTTGTGGTCAGATACGATTTCCAGCTCTCAGCTCATATTGGGGATTGGGTTTGGGCCAGCCGTGTGGGCAAATTTTGAAAGATTCCTAACCTACCCTTTTCATTCCGCATCGAGCCGCGGTTCCCAGCAGTTCAGGGGCTAGACGATTGGGAAGAAGGAGAAGCTGGGAGCCCACAGTAGCCCAGGACTTAATGTCTACTTCCGATCCCCTTTCTTGGTTCTGAAAGGCTACCGGGGACAAGAGGAAATGTAGTTTGTCATTGTTTTGAGCCCTTACAATGTGCAGAGCACTATGCTAAGGAACAGAGTCCCGTGTCCAAGAGCACTTCTCTCTGTGCGCTAGAAAGATGCCGTCGGGAGGAAGAGGGTGGGATGTGGGCATCAGCGCTCCCGCACCCTGTGGGGAAGGGTAATGGCAGCCCAGGGAAGCTGACACCGGGGAATAACCCTATAGTTAGCTTGGGCCCAGAGGCCCAGAGTCTGAGAGAAAGAAAGCTTACACTTAGCAAATGTTTCTTTTTTTTTAAGATTTTATTTATTTATTTGACAGAGAGAGAGCACAAGTAGGCAGAGTGGCAGGCAGATACAGAGGGAGAGGGAGAAGCAGCCTCCCCACTGAGCAGGGAGCCCGATGCGGGGCTCGATCCCAGGACCCAGGGATCATGACCTGAGCCAAAGGCAGACGCTTAACCGAATGAGCCACCCGGGCGCCCCTTAGCAAATGTTTCTGATTTTTAAAACTTACTACTTCAAATCGCCAGGCTCCTGATGATGCCCCTCACTTTGCGCTGCAGATGCTATGGGCAGACATGGGGTTGGGAACTGCTCTGAGCAGGGCCCTCCCAGTGGACCATGGGTAGGTACCAGAAGCCCGGTAGTGGAATGTGAGTGCCCCACACTCGTGCCCTTCCTGCACCAAGCCTGTGCAAGCACTGTGTTCATTTACTTATTCAGCAAATATTAAATGCCTCCTTGATGCTGGCCCTGTTTAGGCAGTTCTCCCAGGTATTCCAGACCCTCTCGTAAACAGGAGCGATTCCATTAGTGTTTGTTGAACTAAAGTGAAGCCGGAGTTAGTTGCTCAGAGTGTGTTCCTGCACCCATGTGGTGGGAGTGGAGGGCGGGAGGAAAGGAAACCAACACAGTTTGAGTCCTTACCACGTGCATCACACGGGTTCCTCATCACAACCACACGAGCTGAGTCCTGCAGGAAATACATGGAGATTCAGGGTGGCTAAGCAGCCTCCCCAGTGACACACAGGTACTAAGTGACCCATCCATATTTGAATTCGGTTCTCTGACTCCCAAATCCACAGGTCGGGATGTTTGCCGGGTGCTCCCCTTGCCACAGGTTCTCTCTCTACTCTGTCGGATTTTTCTTCTCCCAAATATCCCCCAGATCAATAACTCAGGCCAAATCCTAGCCAAAAATGATCACTCCTGATTCTAGGCTAGAAAGTGGGAATCGTGTGAAAGCAAAGTAGGATGAGGTTGTATGACCACAAGCCGAGCCTCATGTTCACAAGGGAGCAGGTTTTAGGAAAACAACAGCCTTTGATGCATGCTCAAAATTCCTTCCATGGTGAGACCCTGGGAGAAGAATCTCACCCAAACAATGTACTCTTGGCAAAGGGAGGGTGGGGGTCTTTTCAGGCATAAAGCTACCAGCAAGGACCCAGAAATCACTCAAGGGAGTTGTTGATTTCCCCAGGAGAACTAGCTTTTGGAAATAAACGTAGCAAAGGATTTCATTTGCCTCCATCCTGAGGCCTCTCTTGCCTCTAACTCCTTAGAGAGGACAGGGGATCGTGGAACTCTTGTCCTTGTGTCGATTCCCAGCTCAGCAACTCGTGCATCCTTTTCTTAAGTTTAACACCAAGTATTTATTCTGATAAAGAAGGGCTAAAAAAAGAACGAACAAAGTTATTATCTGGCTTGGTCTCCAAAAACCCGTCCCTGCAATTGACAGTTACTGCCTTGACTTACTAGATTCAGGAAAAAAAGGATATTCATTCATTGTTCATCAATCATTTGACAGAAAATGAGAGTATTTCTGTGTCACTGAGGTACAGCCCCCCAGAATGAACACAGAGGCCTCCAGTGTCTACACCAGAGCAGGTGGGGATTCTAAAGAGCTACGTTCAAAGCTGGGCAGACCCAGGGCTCCAGAGACAGCAACAACAGGGAGCTCCTGCCCACAGTGCTCAGGAAGGCAGCCTGGCCTTGGGGCCCAGAGCGCATGGTGGAGGCTCAGCTGCCCCAACCATTCCGTTCACAAGTCCCCCCTAAACCTTGGCTGAACGTGAGCCACCACGCTTCTCTCTAGGGTGATCGCAGAAGCAGACAACATGTATACAAGAGACATCAACTTGCAACCCCAAGCAATTGAGGTAGGATGTTTTGTTCCAGAAGACACAAGTAGGACCCATGGGCGGGGGTTCCCAGGGGACAGATTTCAGTTTAGAATAAGGCAAAACATTATAATTAGTAGACATGCCTTTAAATAATGAGGTTTCCATCATGAAAGGTATTCAGGCCGGGGCTAGAGGATCACCCCTCAGAAGTACTGTTAGGGCAAGTCCTGCCTTGAGCAGGATCCTGAGATCTCCACTGTGTCTCTGGTTGGTCCCAAATGAGTGGCTCCACATTTGGTGTTGTGGAGCTCAGAGGCAGGACAGATGCCATGGCTGGGGTTGACAGCAGCAGGCTTTGTGGAGGGCCTGATGCTTATGCCAGGCCTCAGGAAGATGGGTAGATTTGGGTAGGAAGGGAGGCCCCCAACATGTTGCATGGTCCAGGAAGTTTCCCTTTACCTGCAGAGCAAACGAGCGCCTACTTAACTGGCTCCCAGAGTTGCAAAGGGGAATTAATTACTGTTTGTGATATACTTGAAGATTACCCGATGAAAGACCTTGTATAAATGCAAATTATTATTATTGTCATTAAAGATGCTAGACGTTTGGCCTGCCCGATAATGCCCTGGTGTAGCTCTGAGCAGAAAAGAAAGCCAACCTCAGGCAGAAAGTTTGCTCTGGTTGTTCCAGAGCAATCGAAGTAAGACAGAGCAGGTCAGGGAGGGCTTGGCCCATGACTATGAAAGTGAAGCCACCCAGCTCCTGACCAGAATTAGCACGCAGCTCTCTGCTCCAGGAGTCAAGTGTCGGTGTGCCTCCGAGGGCCGGGGCCCTGCTCAGATTCATTCCTTGATCCCTGCTGTATTCGGTGCCAAGACCTGAGCAGGAGCTAGCCATGAATGAGTGAATGTTCGGTTGTCTGCCGGTCTGAGGGATGGAAGGAAGACGGCCAGGATAGATGCTGGCCACCCAATCTTGGGGTCCTGCGTCAGATCTGGAGACAAAAGGGAGAGATCTAGAAACCTCAGATATGTGTAAGGTCTCCAATGATGCTTATTAAGGCTCTGGGAGAGCCCCTCTAGCGAAGCACAGGGAGAGCTTGTTTATTAATTACTGTTTCCACTTAAGACACTGTCTCTGGCTCAAGTGGTTGGATTGCTACAAAAGCAATAATAATAATAATGATAGTGGGTGAAAGTGTATTAGACCTGGACGTGAACTCAGAGGCCATCCCTTCACTTGACAGAGGAGATGTTGGGGGCTCGGAGAGGCGAGGTGGCCCATCCCTGGTCACGCAGCGAGTTAGAGGCCTAGCCGGGATCACACTTCAGGCCTCCCCATTCCCAGTCTACAGCTCAATTATGTCAAGATAATAATACCTCCCATCTTATAGCACTTTGTAGACGTAGTACTCCTCAACAACCCTAGAGAGTTTTAAGATGCCAGACGACCTTAATGTGAAAGGACCTTCTGCCCTCTGCTCTTCTGGGGCTCATTATTTAGAGAACATTCATGATGCCCGTCACGTGCATCTGGGTAGTTGGCATATGTCCTTCTTGTGCTGTCTTTGCCTTCTCGCAGACGTTCAGAGTAGGCCTCACTCTTCATTAGGGTGCCTAGGACTTCCAGGAACCAGAGGGACAAGCAACAGAGAGGCCACGTTCATCCCTTTGTCCCTTGTTCTTGCAGTCACAATTCTACTGCAGAGCCACCTGATTCAGGTCCCCAGACGAGGGCTGAAGAGACCGGTCGACACCCCTGGACACATAAACCTGTAAGAGGGAGGGCCGTGTAGGGGTTTGCAAGCACAAATGTGGGTGTAACAGGGGCTGGCAATAAGCAGCCCTCTAAATTCATTACTGGGCTGTGGGCAATTCCGGTTTTCATGGAGGAGACTGAAATATAGCTAAGCTGATGTTTGGGAGGAGAGGATCAGCACATCAAAGCATGGAGCAATCCCCAGGCGCACCCCCTCACTGAAGACAAGAGTCCCAGTGACTCAGCGTCCTGCAGCAGCCCCGAGGTGGAGCCCTGGCCCCCCTATACATCACCAGCTCTCGCTCCTCTGGAAACCATGGCTATAGGGAAAGAATGTGTACTTCGGAGTCAAGCAGCTCTGGATTTATAAATAGCGTTGCCACCAATTACCTGTGTGATCTTAGAAAAGTTACTTGGCATCTCTGCGTCGTAGATTTCTCATTGGCAAGGACAGATAACAAGGCCTACCCGGCGGTAGGCCCAGGAGAAGGAGTCAACATAAAATAATACAGATGGAAGCAAATAGCACGATGTCTAGCAGGAAGTAGGCCCCCCCTCCTGTATACTTAGAGCTTCCAGGGTTCTTGCAATCCATGGAAACACATTTATTTTATATCCTTATACAGTATTTATAACTTAAAAGTTTCATGAAAAACTATTTTGCCTTGCCACACGTGACATATTCTGATTTTATTTTGTTTCATTTTAATGCCAGTCGGGACCCACTAAATGGATTTTACAACCCGCTGCAACCATTATACCCATCATTGGAACCAGCCTGTTTGATACCATGTGTAGGTCTCATTTATCCCCATTGTATGTACGTTCTTCCTTTCCTTCCAGTCCTTCCTTCTTTCCCTTGCTGTCTGTAACTGGCACGGGGGCCAGAACTAGCTGGGGACAGCATGGCAGGGCCCCAGGCTTGGTGCGGAGGGGAAGAGCCCTGCCGAACAGGTGCCGCTCCCGGCCCTCTGTGGTGCCTCAGTGGGACTGAGAGGACCCATAACGCCCTCCGCCTGCCAGAGTTCTGCCTCCCGCCGGCCTGCTGGAGAACTTCGCTACTCTCCCAGCCCAGCATAGCCCACCTGAAGTTTCTGCCGAGGCCACTGCAGCCCAGCAGGGAGGGTAGGCCTCAGGCATCCTCTCCCATTGAATAATTTCTTCTTTTGGAATTGCTGCTCTTCCATCTTTAAGCCCCAAGAGCCAGATGTCTGGGGATAGTATTTCAGCTGCCAGGTGGGGGGGGGATGAGAATGGAAAGAAGAGGACCCATGGCCATCCTTGCTGCCCCTCCCCCTGTATGCAAGGGGGATCTTTCTGTGAACACCCAGCTGTGGGGGTGAATACCCAGGGAGCAGGCAGGGGCCCAAGCTGCCAGGGAAGACATGAACTGCAGCCTCCAGATGCTGAGAGTCTAAGTGGGAGAAGCCAAATTTAGGCAGATACTACTTTAAAGCCCCAGGGAGATTCTCTAGGGAGGACAGGGTTGTTTTACGCCCCAAAGAGTTGATTTCCTAAGCGTTTTCCCAGTCCTTTGGGGGTCTGGCCCTCTTCTGCGGAGGCTGATGCCTGGCTGAGCAGGAGCCTTGGGCAATGCCCACTGGAGTGTGACTTGGGGCCTGGGACCTGCACTCGGCATGGCCAGCTCAGCTGGGACCCTAAGCACTTCCTCTTTGAGGTCTATCCTTTGGTTTTTCCCCTTTCGCTGACTAAGAGGGGAGGGTATTCTGTGACCTTGGCAGTGACTCACGGCCATCAGACAGGCGATCAGCTTCTCCCCAGCGCAGGTGAGCGCAGGAGTAGCCCTTGCCCTGGCCGGGCCCGTGGAGGGATCTTGGCCCCTCCACCGGCATCCGCTCAGCCATCTGCAGGAGCCAGGGCTCGGCCCCTGTTCGTGCAGCCCGGGGCAGAGCAAGCAGAAGACTGGCGGTGCCCACTGCCGAGGCATCTGCCAGCTGAGGTGCGGTGGGCAGGTGCAGATCGGGAGACAAGACGAGCCCAGAGCTGTGGCTCTGCTCTGGGGTCCCAGGCAGCGCCACACTCCTTAGCACCCCACACCCACTGTCTGCCTTCCGCCTAGCCAGGTATACCCCATCATCTCAGCCCACCCCCCTACCAGGGGGCCCAGCCTTTCTCAGTAGCCACATGGGCACCCTCTCCTCCCAGCCTCTCATCAAGTAGGTTTAGGACGGAGATAGCATCAGGCTGAGAGGAATGAGATAGGGAGGACTGGCCCAGACTCTGCCCCTAGCTCCAGGGCCTCTGGTCAGCCTTGGGGCCGGCCTGCCTGCCTGCCTTCCTTTTTTCCTTCCTTCCTGCACCAAGTTGGTATTCGTTTACCATGAGGCCCAAAGGAAGGTGAGCCCCACTGGGCACTAAGGATGAACCATCCCCAAATTCTGCCCTTGATTTGCAGAGACGATCTATGCTAACAGCTGTAATTATCTATCGTATGCTGTGTTAGAAAAACCACTAACTTCTCTGGCCCTCAGTTTTCCCTTGCCTGTAATGACTGAACTATATGACCTCTGAGATTTCCTTTTGTTCCAAAATTTTATAATTCTAAAGTACATCTTTGAGCCAAATGTCTACATCCATTTGAGAAATATCTATTGAGTCGCTATGTGTTGAGCCCTAGACGCAAAGCTGGGATGCAAAGATGGATGAGTGTGACCATGGGTCTGCCGTCAAGGAGTGGGTGGTGGCTGTGGTTGGGATATGACAGAGATGGAGCCCGGTGGAAGGCGGGGGCCCTGAAGCTGGGGGAGGCTCAGGAGCCCGTAAGGACTCCCCGTCCCTCCCTGTCACTTGGCCAGCTGACCTCTCCTGTTCTCCCCTGCCTTCTCATTACACTGCCCCCGGGGATGCCAAGGGGGCAGAGACACCTGCAGCCCCTGGGAGCAAGGCCTCGCCCCTGCAGTTGCAGAAGCTGGCTGCAAGCTGCCGTAGCCCAAAGGAACTGGCCAGGCTCCAGAGGGCCTCCTTGGAGAGCCCAGGAGAGAGAACCACTAGGTAATTTTGATCATTTTAGTAAGCATTTCAAAATACCCTATGATTTAGAAGGAGCCAGATTTCATCCCAATACTTTGATGTCTAGAAATGGTTCCTGGTTGGTTGCTTGTTGAAGTCCTTCTAAAACAGCATTTGATTTAATTCAACACATACTAGGACGAAGGTCCCAGCCGTTGGCGGTCTTACAGGCAAGGAGCCCGAGCTGTACAAGACAGTGTCTAGACACCAATCTAAACATTCCAGACTCAAGGCAAACCGTGGCTGGGCCTGAGGTCGGAGGCCTGGTGTGCCCCGGAATCCAGCAGAGGGGCGATTGATTCCAGCTGAGGGTGAGGGCCGCTGCTTGAGGCTGTGAGCATGTGAGGCAACGTGCCCGGTCAGCTATCGGGCTTTTGCATCTCAGGCGTGCTGATTTTCTTGTTTGGCAAGTTAGGACCCCCTAAAAATGAACCAGGCGTGCTCGGGTTGGCACATTTAGGGCGGACTACGGGAACCAGTTACAGCCACTTATTTGTTCCTGAAGCCCACACCAGGAGCCAGGCTGACGTCGCCTGGGGCCCAGCCACAAAATTAACTTCCATTGTGCCAGTCACTTGCGCACCAAGGCACCCAGAGTGGGATGGGCAGTCTTCACAGGGGCCTTTGCAGGGTTTGGGGTGAAGGGCATTGGAGTAGAACCAGGTCTCTTGGTAGAGAAGAGGGGTGACTAAAATAGGGATGACCCCTGTGACATGAGTAACCCCAAATGAGTCTGTATTGACAGCGGCCGCCCGGGACAACGAGGACAAGGCAAGACCCAGAGAAATGATTAGCAGGACTTGTCTCACACTATTTACAGGACGGCTTTGATTTTCAGACCACAGTCGGTTTTCTTATGACTGATTAAAAGCATGTGCCAGTGGAAGTCACAGCTGCAGAAGAAAAGGGGAAAAAGAAATGAGCCTTAGATGTTTTGGAACTTGCCTCTATTTGCAAAAATGAATTCTGACTTGATTTATATTTCCTTGATTTACTGACAATGAGGGTCGTGGCCCTGAACTGCTTCTCCCGCCCCACCCCCACTCCACCACCGCTTTGGCCTGACCCCGGCAAACAGCACAGAGCCCATCTCATGATTGCCCAGAGAAAAGGATGTTTGAATTCCAGAAAGACTACTGCGTTCTGTTTCAGAAGTTGATTGTTTAGGCTTTTGTAAAATAAAAAGTCCCAAGTGAGAGAGGCTAAAGGCAGCTAGGCCACAGGGGCTCCCTCCTCTGTGGCCGTGGAGGGGAAGACGCACTGCAGTGGCACTGAGATCAGGGTACCACTGGGCGGGTGCCTTCCCTGAATTCACAAAGCTTCTGCTTTCTTGCCTGCGAATGGAGAGCCTGGCTTCCTGCCACACCCAACGTGCTGGGAGTGCCAGCCATGCTTAACCAGCTTCGCGTAGCTCCTTCCCTTTCTCCGGAGTCCCCAGCCTCTTTGGGCTTTATTTTCTGTTTTTGCTTTTATTTTCTTAAAGTTGTACCCATTCAGATGTTCAGATGTTGATCTCGTGGATTTCTCTTCTTCTGTAAAGATCCATTGAATAAATCCGGAACTACAGTTCCAGGGGGGAAAGCCCCTGTGGATGAGCCTTTTTGGGCAAAGTTCCTAACTGCCTCCCCCCGAAGTCCTCTGAGGATTTCCCTGATGGTCCCTGTCTTAACTCTTCAGGGTCTCCAAGCCCCTTCTGCAGAACACACTGATTGTTAACAACGTGTGATCGCGCCTCCCCGCGGTGGCAGGACAGAGGGACGGCTGAGGAGCCAACCTTCCGTCCCTGTCGTGAGCGGCCCGAGGTGCCACTAAACATCTTCTCAGAGCCCTGCAGGGTTCATCGCTGACCCCGTCTTGCTGCTGAAAGAGCATCGAGGATGGTCAGAGCCATCACCACCGCCTTCCCACGCTGCCGCCGCCTGGGCTTGCCCTCACTTAACACAGGAAGAGCCGAGACGCAGAGAAGTTAAGTGGCTTGCTCAAGAT